GGGGGGGGGGGGGAGAGGCTTGCTTGTAGAGGTAGCGTGCATATACACAAACAGTTTAAGAAGAGGCACTTAAACCCAATACAAACACCCTGTCCACACCAGGAAGCAAATGTGTAAAAATACTAAATATTAATTCTCCATGGGAACTATCAAACATTTCAACTTCCCAACCTCACGTCAATCGTTCTCTAAGTTTCCAAACATTTACTTCAACGTTTTCATTACCATGATCGAGTAATTAACTCACCTTACTGGCTGTCAAACCTCTTTTAACATATGTAAAGAAATGATAGTTTTATGTTAACTTTATGTTAAACTTGGTACGATTTGATTTATGTTAAAAGTGGTACGATTTGATTAGTAGGGCAGCAGAAGTTACCCTACTGATAACATCATCAATTACGCATTGATAATCACCGATACTCAGTGGCTGATCAGAATCATTGATTACCCCCAGATTGTTGTTCCCTGATACCATTCATCACTGTTCTTTTCCTCTGAATTTACAAATTACAAAAACTAACCTGGATTGTTCTCCATTCTCTGACTTGTGACTTCTTCTTCCAGTTGTTTGATTTTCTTTCCTGTCTCAAAAACGTCGTTTTCTACTTTGGCAAACCCTTGCTGCAGTTGTTCCACTCTGTCATCGGTCCTGGCAAATCCCTCCTCCAGTTGTTCAAATTTGTCATCGGTCCTGGCAAATCCCTCCTCCAGTTGTTCAACTTTGCCATCTGCTTTAGCTAGTCCCTTTTCCAATCTGTCAACTCGAATCAATAATTCGTCACTGAGCGTTTTCTCCAGGGACACAAGCTTTTCCATTATTTCTTGCTTCTCTTTCATCTGTTGTTCTTTCCACTCTAGCATTGCTTTCAACAGCTCACTTTGTTTCCGCAATTGAACTCTTGTTGACGATTGCTCACCTTGGATGGAAGTCACAGTGTTTTGTATTTGAGCTTGCTCTTTTCTTTGCTGAGCCAGTGATTCTTGAATGGCTGATTGTTCTGCTTCAGTTTTCTTGTAGCTCTTAATGAGTTCTTTGACATCTTGTTGCACAAGGGAAAGAAGATTTTGATCCACAGCATGACCCATACACAGCTGACAACCTGAAATCAAACAAAGCATGAAGAGTTTCACAAAACGGAAGGCAACTTTTGTCAGGGGATCGGATGATTGAGCGTGATAAGGGTTGTAGGGTATAATGTATGCATGGTAGATTCAGAGCTAGAAGATCAACAATTGACATGGTCTTCTCTTTGCGACAGCTGCAGGAGAAATAAAGAGAGCTGAGACGGCCGCTATACGTCGCATTCATCAACCTGACCAAGGCCTTTGACTTGCTCAGCAGGAAAGGCTCTTCACTCTGCTACAGAAGATTGGATGTCCCCCAAGTTCCTGAGGATGATCACGTCCTTTCATGAAGACATGCATGGCACCGTCCAGTACGATAGATCTTCCTCGAACCCTTTTCCAATAGAGCAGGGTAAAGAAAAGGCTGTGTGCTTGCTCCAACTCTCTTCGGCATCTTTTTCTCGTTGCTGCTGTCCTTCACCTTCAGCCAATCAGAGGACAGAAGCGATGGCAGTCTCTTCAACCTGGCCTGCCTACATGCCAAAAGCAAAGTGTGACAGGTTCTCATGCGTGAGATGCTCTTTGCAGATGATGCAACTCTGACTGTTAACTCCGAGGAGGCACTTCAGTGACTCATCAACTGCTTCTTCCATGCGTGTAGAGAGTTTGGCTTGTCTAACAGCCTAAAGAAGACCAACATCATGGGCCAAGACCTGAGCAGCACCCCAAGCATCTCTATCAGTGACTTCACGCTCGAGTTCGTCGAGGACTTCATAAACCTCCGGTCCACCAGCTCCAACAACCACTCCCTGGATGCCGAACTCAATAAAAGCATTGGCAAAGCAGCAACAGCCATGGCCTGCCTGGCAATGAGGATCTGTGAAAACCCCATGCTGACCATCAACACCAAGATGCAGGTGTACCAAGCCTGTGTGCTCAGTACTCTGCTCCACGGCAGCGAGTCATGGTCTCTATTCCTGCCAAGAACGCAGGCTCAACACTTTTCACCTGCGCAACCTCAGGAAAATTCTGGGTATCACGTGGCAAGATTGTGTACCAAAAAAGAATGTCCTCGACCAGGCAGGCATCCCCAGCATGTTTGCACTCCTGACCCAGCACCGCCTGTGGTGGCTCGGCCACGTCAGATGAATGGACAGGCGAATCCCCAAAGACATCCTGTATGGCGAGCTCACCACTGGTTCCAGACCTGAAGGAAGGCCTGTCTTACGTTACAAGGATGTTTGCAAACGAGACATGAGAGCAGGGAACATCGATCCAGCAGGCAAGGAGGCAGTGACTGAAGACCGCAGTGACTGGAGAATGATCATGAAAGCATGCGTCCAGAGGAGTAACGAGATGAGAAAACAGCAATGGGAAGAGGGGAGAGAGCGCAGATGGCAGAGGGCAGATTCCCTGCACTCAGAGCGAGGCGTGACCTTCACCTGCAACAACTGCAACTGAGCCTGCCGATCTAGAATTGGCTTGTATAACCATAGCGGTGCAAGAGTTCCATTGTCTCCCGAGACAGATGGACACCAACTCAATTCAAGAGGTGGTAAAAGATGCACAGTAGGGATTGTAGTAGGGATGGTGGTGTGGTAGGTATAGTAGGGGATAGGGGCATAGCAGATGTGGTAGGGGATGAAGTGTGAGAATAGAGGAAACAAGTGGTAGGATTTAGCAAGGGAGGGGGTGAAGATACTGTAGTAGAAGTGGTACGGGATAGAGTGTAGGAATGGTGATAAGGAATGGGGGTGTGGTTACGAGAAGATGAGGTATGTAGGGTTTTTAAAGGCTGTTGAAGCCTTGCAGGTGTGGCAAGGGATAGGTGAGGTAGAGGTGTTAGGGCATGATGCCGTAGAGGTGGTAGGGGTAAGGTGTGGTGTGGATTGCAGGGAAATGGGCTGGGTGGGTGTGAGGTAATAGCACGTGGTAGCTCTTTTAAGACTAGGGCTGACAAAGGCAAAGGTGAGGGCAGGCTGAGAAAATAGAGAAATCAACTCTAAAGTAATTTTAAAATTATACTGGAAATAACCAATTTAGTAAGGGATAATGTGTGGTACAGAGGCAGTGGGTGGAAAGAGGTTTATCATAGAGATAAGTAAAATCTGTTCTTATACCATCAGCTGGCAACTAAACTTTGGTGACCATTTACTTTGCTAGTTCCTGAAAGGCAACTTAAGATTTTTCTCAAACCCTCCTGATTACAATTCTTAATGAATTATTGATTGAACCTTGTATATTGATCATACAAAATGATATAAAGCATGTTTAATCATTTGGGTATAGCTTTGTTGCAGTGCAAGTAATAAACTTTTCAAAAAGACTGCAATTACCTTTAGTTAGCCAATCTGACAGCAGATCTAAACTGGTCTTCTCGATACCACCAGTCAGTCCCAGACTTCTCACCAAGGTCTCCAGCTTGGAAAAACAATCATTGAAGAGGACTTCAGTCCAGTCAGTAACATTACAATGACCCCATTTGTTCCTGACATTTTCTCTGACATCATCAGCTGAATTCTGAATAGACATCAGTGGGTTTGGGGAGTAGAAAATCGGTGCAGGCTTGTTAAATCCCAACAGGCGAAGGATGGCACTCATGTCCAGTGACTCATCAAAGCCTGAAAACTCAGCAAGATAATCTGGCACAAACAACTTGGCCAAGTCTACTGAACTGTTGACGTTGTAATTGTAGAGTCTTTTATGCTTGCCATGCAGCTGAAGATTATTGTTGACATTCTGGAATTTCAAGTGTTTAAAACATGGATCAGTACTGACCTGATGGAAAGTCAGTGTCCTCAGGGCACCGGGTGGTGTCAGACCATTGCAGTAGATGTCCAGGTTTGTATAGCAAGTGTCCATTCCTTGTTTGATAAAATCTCTCAATACTGGAACTACTACTTTGTTCATGGCAATCCCGACAACAAGCCATCTCTTCTCCTCATCAGAGACCATCATCTTGAGATTACAGATTAGTTCCAATGATTATTGTTGTCATAGCTAGGCTATATATGAGAGGTAAATTACACTTTGAAGCCAGCTTCAGGGCTGCCTGAAAAAAGATAAATGAAGGAAAAGGGAATTTTGAGTAAGGTAATTAGATTTAATAATCATTCGTAGAAAATTTATATACTTAGGAAATATTGCATGTTAATCACTGTGTTCACCAACTGGCATGACTGTATTTAGTATACAATTGTTTTGCTGACTGCATGACTTATAGTCCTGAATTGGCAGCAGAATCAACTTGCCGGTCCTAAACTAGAACAGTGAAGATGTAAATAATCATAGATCTACAAACAGAATAAATTATGGTAATAAACATTTAAATTCTACAGGATCTGAAAATNACCTGTTCTCAAGTTGAAAACTCAAAACAGATATATATATCTGTCAAGACTTCACTCAGTTTAGACCAGTGATGAAATCTGACCCTACCCCTTTAATACGGCCACCCTGTTAATAAGGCCAATTTTTCATGGCCCGTTGTGACCATGTTAACCGGGTTCCACCGTATATTATTAAGATAAAAATGAGTCAGTTGTTGCTTCCACAAACACAGGAGTCAATTCATAAAGCAAACCTTCACATGATCATACCTAAACGCGTCTTAAACTCTAATCTGGACAGAGATTCAAATTGATTTCTACCATCAAACAAAAGACAGATCGCAACAATTTTATCCACAACGCTATCCATAAAACCAAAATCATTCCAGGAAAAATAATGAACTTAACGAGGAGGATTAAAAGGCAAGCGATGCAAATATTTCCCTTCATGGCGGAAGTGATTTCCTTTTCAGCATTAATCCCCAGTTGTTACTTTACACAAGTTGTTTCTGTATGTTAACATACCTGGCAGCGTTAGATGTGATCATCAAACAACAAGCTAAAGAGAATATTTTGGCCACCAATATCGCAAACCTTCTACAGATAGTAACCACAGCTAAAGTGCTTCGCATTCCTTCGTAGTCACCCAATTTTTTCTGGGAAACAAGCAGCCTGGTTCCAGGCTTCAACGGTCATTATCCTTGGGGGACTGGTTTGCCGTTTTAACAAACGTGTAGGAGAAAAGGTTGGGGCTGCCTGCCACATGCAAGGCCAGTCGACGGGGCTAGGTTAGTGTCAGCGAGTGGCATGGCCTGGAAGACCGTGCGATGGGTGTCCCGAAGAAACAGCTGCTGCCAGCAGCGTGTCCCTATGCCAAGCTCCTAGAGGGTAGATCAGCAAGGGGAAGTGGTCGTGGCTATAATGTCACCCAAAGCTCTAGCTAAACGATTCCGGCATCCCATCAGTGTGGGACCAAGCGCCCTGGTGGGACTGAAGGGTTGCGCCAGCAACACTTGTGCCTTCAACCATTTAATGGCAAACCATAACTAATGGTTACAAATCGGTAACTTCAACATCATTAAACTCTTGATACGGTAAAGCGGAGCGAAAAAAATCAACGCACTACGTAACAGAGGGGAAAACCATGTGGTGGGTGGGTGAAAATATCGAAAAAACACCTTTCACCGTCACTGGAAGTATATGTGAGGAAAAACTTGTGTTCAAGCGGCTAACTACAGGTTGTAAACAAGGTGAACGTGTTCGGCCCGAATAATAAGTTACGGTTAGTGTTATCAGCCTCAGCCTTAGGCTTCGGCTGATAACACTTGCCTCGACCTTGATTATTCCGGATATCACAAAAACCTCATCCACTAATTGTTTATTATTTGCAGATAAATGAATAAATTCGAATCAACAAATTTTTAGAAACGCATTTCACTAAAAAAGTTAACGTTAAAAAGCAACGACGTTTCGACCGCTCGACGGTCATTTTCAAGTTGAAAAGTAAATTTTTTTTTTTTTGCATGAGCCCAAATATATATTTGGGCGCATGCAAAAATTTTACTTTTCAACTTGAAAATGACCGTCGAACGGTCGAAACGTCGTTGCTTTTTGACGTTAACTTTTTTAGTAAATAAATAAAAGATGATTAATTACAAATGACGAAACAAAAAGAAAAAGAGGGAAAAAAGGGAGATGGTGTAACAAAATCTAGCCACAAGGTTGATCTGTAAAACAGTGATAGGCCAATACACATACAGTGAAAGGAGTTGTGACGGTCACGTTATTAGGGAGCTCAGTTAAGGTGGCTTACTACAGTTTTTCTGAGACTCAATAGCGCGCGCTACCATTGCCTGCCAAACGTCAGTTAATAATCGCGCGTTCAAAAATGACGCAAGAACCCTAAGAAGAAACGAAATCACTTCAGCACTTGGAAGGCGTTAAATTACTTCGGTATAAGTAGCAATAGTTTCAAACTCCGTTCAAACATGTGTTTAAGCCTAGGGCCAAAAAAATATGACAAAAAAGCCCTATAAATAACCGGTGAAAGAGCTCTAATTTACCCACGCTTTCTCGCGCGATACATGGCGTCACATGAGCGCGCGCTTAAATAAATAAGCACGCGTGACACCACGCGTGTTTTTCTGATTTTTGTGACGTCAGCGTTACCAAATAAATGCTATTTTCTCGCTTTCCCTTCGGTGAATTTTCTTTTTTTTAATTTGGCTCAGTTGTAACCACATACTGTTCCTTTAAAATACCCTATTTTTGTTAAAATCTGTCAGAGTTAATCTAATATATTCAGAATAATGACAAATTGTAGAATATTGGAAAAACCGTCTGAACAACCTTGACTTTTTACACATTTAAAATTTCAGGCAATATTATTTCCATGATGTGGCGAAGTATGAAAAACTTTCACCGAAGGAAAGTATAAATATTAAGGAGTTTAGGCCAAAATGAGGAATATATCTGCCTGTCATTAGAAGAGATGTTGCCATGGTAACGGCCTTAATCCAAAAATTGACAACTGAAACATAAGCCTTGTTTTAACAGTACCCATACTGGTAATTCTCTACAGGGAAAGCTTTAAGAGAAATTAACTAAGTTTCCGTTTCTAACTCGCGCTCTATATATGGAGGGTGTTCGTAATTACTCTAGGGAGCCACCTTAAGCAACGACGCTTAATAAAAAATGAATTTATATTTTACCAGCGAAATTCGCGATTGTCTAGATCTGTTCAGTACACCAATGGCTCTACTGAAACGCACTCAGGCTAAATATGCAATGACAGCGTCCAGGTCCGAATGAAAATACGAAAAATTAGCCTTCGTCGTCCGCGTTCAGTAGGCGACGCAGAACTTGGTCATTTCACGTTGTTGTTTTGCAGAGAACGGCAAAGAAATGTACAGAGATTTATAGCGCACGTGCACAGTGAACCTTTTGTTTGGTGGCGTTCTCTTTGCCATCGTCGTGGTGGTTTGCTGAAGCTCTCTATTTATAATACGGCCCCTTTTTTTGTCCGAGTCAACGTTCATACATTTTCTTGAAAAACCCCGAAAAAAAAGAAAGAAAGAAAACCCCGTCAATATGGCCGCAACAATTCGACGCCCCCGCCCCTCCCCTCCCGGGCATTTGACGGGCATTTAGCATTTTGTTTTCGGAAGGTGACAGATGCCTAGGCTGCCTTGCAGACAGAAATGGTATGTACCGTATGTAGCGTCTGCGACGCAGGCTACAGATGCCCCACCTCCCCATGGTAGGGTGGTGAGAATAGAGCAAATGCACCATGCATGGGATAGCGTCAAAATTATATCTTATAGCGATATTGCCGTGTACTCGTGAACGCTAATATAATAACGTGAAAAAGCATCTTCTATTTGTTAAACAGCTTGTTAAAGTTTGATTATGACTGTTATTCACGTACTCAACATTTTTGTATTAAGCATATTGAAACTGACTCAGACATTGTCGAAAATAATACACACCGGTCTCCGCATAGACAGAGAAAAACTCGCAAAGACGATGTTTGCAGAGAAACTCATTGAGAGAAGGCTTATCCTTTCCAAAAAAAATATGATCCGTTTTTGCCATAAAGATGTCATCAATAACTTACCTACAAAGGTTCTTATTTAAACTAACGACTCACACCATACTCGCTTCTCGCCTCGATCCTCTCGCACATGGCCGAGACCAACACGATTTTTTGGGGGGGTGGTGACTGGGCACGAGCTAGTATCTAAAGGGTTAAATCTATATCTGCATTTTTTACGTAGGGTTAATTCTCTTGATGTTCAATAAAGCAGGCTTTCATTTTTAAAAAAGTACCGATTTATAATTCTTTGTATGCGACTAAATTGTCAAATACCCCACCCCCGGGCAGGCCCATGATGAAGACCTACAACCTGTCAAATGCCCGTCAAATGTCCCTGGGGATCGAGAGCAGGCTTGAAATTGACAGATGTATAATACTTAAAAATTTTACAACGGTAATACGGCCACTGGAACCGAGAGGTCAGGACCTTCGTTTTGGAAAGGATCTGTACAGCCGAGTTTGTTTTCGTTTCGATTATTTTTAGAATCCAGTTATGTTCCTCTTTCGATGGTTAATATTCTATCTACTGATTGAAGTCTGAGCATCTGCATACCCATCAATCAGTCCCATTCAAATTGTTACAATTTCGAATGTGTGCACCATGAGCTTTCAATGTCTGGCCGCAGGAACAACTCGCTCATGTAAACCTGAAACTGCAGCTGGCCATCATAGTCCCTTTTCATAAATGGCTACAAATTTAAAATTCCTTGTATGCATTTAAATTAGCCTCACTTACCTCATTTGGGAGCGTGAAAATTCTTTAGAATTATCAACTTAAAAACGAGGTTAGTAAGGCTAATTTTAATACTTCCAAAGAATTTATAATTGGTACCATTTGTGAAGAGGATCTATTGCGAAAACAAAAGAAGGCATTGAAAAAGCGGCGGGGACATCCAATCAGTATATTCAACCGAAGCTTTCTTATGAAGTACTATCAACTATGAGAACTTCGGAATGGTTAACAATTATTCGCCGATTGCGGGGAAAAGTTAATAGGACCAGGAGCCCCGACGGAACAAGGGAGAAAAAGTGAAATTTTCAAGGGATCAAAGGAACATGCTATCCCGCCTGGGAGGCCCCTGCTCTTAGTACCACACCTCAGTGCTTTGCTGCGGTCAATGCAACCCACGCCTTTGTGACTTGTGTCTACACTTCGCATGCTCTTCTTCTTATTTTCCATACAATACTTTTCTCTTCTTTTACCATTATTTTGAAGATTTGAGTAACTAGAAGCAGGAATAACCTTTCCACAAGTTATCATGCTTAAAAGATAGCCAGATAGCTCAAAAATAGCACTGAAATGATCCTGAATGATCGCTGCCTTTGCCCGCAACGACATCACTCGCGCGATCAAGAAATAAATAGCATTTTTATACCCTTATTAAATTTGTATTACGTGTACCGGTACCGTTAAAGTATGGATCCTGACTGGGCCTTAAACTCCGTACAAGGGTTGTGTCCGCTAACCTCTGCTCTGCCGTGATGTAGTCAGTAGTCACGTGATTTATACCTGTGTTCTGCTGTCACGCAAGGCAAAACTTGGCAAAACAAGGCAAAACGTGCATTGTGGGACGTCTTCTTCTTTACTTCCTTGATAGTTCGCTCTCTGACGATTTTCAAGGATGTCTCCCGATCCTTGGGCCGCCCGTCATGACAGGAACAAAGTTGATTTAGCGTTCATCGTAGACTGTACAGGATCTATGGGTTCTCATATCAGGCAGGCGCAAAAACACGTCCGAAGTATCGCGGAAACCGTGGCGAGAACTGCTTTCAACGTGACACTCGCTCTGGTAGAGTACAGGGATCACCCTCCGCAAGATAACTCATTTATAACAAGAACCCACGACTTCACGCATTCGCTGGATGAAATGAAAAGGTGGGTTGACGGTATGAGCGCCAGTGGAGGCGGGGACGGACCTGAATCAGTCGCTTGTGCTTTGGACGACGCTGCCAAGCTCAGTTACAGAAAAGATGCCACAAAGATTTGCGTTCTAATTTGTGAGTTCAGTAAATAAACTTTTAAAGCTTACTTTCCGTTAAATCTTACATCATTTATCGTTCGTGTATGTTACTCCAAGACAAGACTGTATGCATATAAACAAATTTAAATGTGCGTCTTGACAACGTATAAACTAACTCTCATATTAGCTTACGACTTTACTGTGCGCTAAAAGAAAGAACTGTTGAAAAGTTTAGAGGTGAATTATTTATGTAAGTACTTTAAATAGTGACAGAAATGTCCTGCCAAAATCAACGTCTAAGCCTTATATATTGTACCTTTGTATGAGGAATCACCCTTATTTGTACCAATACAAAATTTGCATTATTTTGCAGTTTTATTTTATTTGCCTTTATTACTTATTTGTACCAGTACAAAAAATTGCATTAGCTTATGGCTCTGTCAGTTCTAAGCTCCTCCATGCCCGCTTCCCTCAGGATATTTGTTGGGAATTTGACAACACTTCTCGGCTAAGGGTAGGGCATTTTCTGTAACAGGTCAGTTTGTGAGTGGGGTTAAATGCCAAAGGCAGTTTTATCCTTCGGCTTGTTACAAATTTTACGCACATCTGTTTGGTGTTTACTGTTAAATTGTTTGTTGTTTGTTTATTAATTGTTATAAAATAACTGAGATACTACACGTGCTCTGATTGGTCAAAAGAATTGCAGACCCAATATGGCAGCTCTACCTGGGAACTAGAGAACTCAGAAATTATACTAGCACTAAATGTAGTGATCAGTTTTGGCTTCCGCTGACTGAGATATCAATAACATGCATATCTTTTCATTCATCGCATATGGAAAAACAGGTCTAGAAGTTAGTCAGCGTTAAGACCTAGATTTATCTTTCTTTCCCCGGCACAAATTTTATGCTGACTCTGGTTATGCTTGAGTTTAAAATTAACGTAGTTTTTTAAAAACTCTTTTTTTTTTGGTGCTTTCCATGGTCTGTGAAGGTTGAAGTCAGCTGGGTTTGAATGATCAATTGAATGTTGTTAGAACAGCAGGGAAAAGATTTCTTTCGAGGTAACATTAAGCTTATTAGACATTCTGAGTTTAAATTTGCTGCATGCATGCATACATAACACAATAACTGAATTTGGTTTCCATAAGCTTAGCTTTCATGCGATAATTTTCATTTAGCAAAATACATAGAAACGCAAACTTCATAGCAGAGTTTGACATTGCGACCACTGGGGTTGCCAATGGAACCAAATTTTTTCCACTGACTAACTTTGCATGCTTTTCACTGATCAGAAATGCTTTTGCTGGTGACTAAATCTGAAAACTCAAGGCCCAGTTGGCCCCAGTGTTTTTTCCCGAAAGTTGAGCTCTGCATAGCCTTCAACATAAGTAAATTTACATCTGAATACATTTTGGAAGCAGCATTGCTGTAACTAACCTTTATTCAATAAGCGAACCTTTGGAAAGTTATGGTTGAATTGCTTCACTGAGCATATGAAGTTTATACTACTTGCACACTTTTTGCACACTTTTGCTTTCTTGGTGACCAATTCTGCCAACTAATCCCCGCACTTCCTAGCTCCTATGCAGACGCTCTTTGGGCTAATCACGCAGTCTTCCTCCCCCACAAAAGTCTGCTGAAACATAGGACTATTCACTTAGCCCCATCAAGGCAACGAACTCAGAGAAATTTTTCAAGAGACTTCAATGGGTACCAGTGTGGCCTTTCAACAAGTATCTGGAAATTGGAACCATCAATTTAAATACCTGATCTGCAAGAAGTTATAGAGTGTTACATGAAAAAAGCAGGCATTTGTTTGGTTAGTACTGTACCTCTCAAATGCTGAAGCCTGCAGGAAGTCTGCTTGAAACTTAAGAAATGATTGCTAGATGCCAAAATACTAGCGTGGCCTTTCATCGAGTTTGTGAGACATGTATGGTATTCTGTGTTGCTGTTGAGGTGGCACAAAACAGTTTGCACTGTAGTTCTCCCTCCCAAGGGAGCCTATTTAGTTTATTATTAGCTTTTTATTACACAATGAACTGGCGCTGATTGGCTCTAAAGTAATTTTCACGTGATCTCCAGCTGATCTTTACAAACAATGGGTAAGGAATGTGCTGTTTGTTTCAGCAGACATTCATGGGGGAACGAAGACTACGTGGTGAGCCCAAAGAATGTCTGCATAGGAGGCTATGCATTTCCCTGTAAGAATACTTTTGAATTAAATAATGTACCCTCTGCCTTTCATCAAAAACCTTTTCCTTTCCATTCTTAAAACTTTCTTAACATGAAATGTTTCCGTCACATTGCTCCGTGGATTTTTGTGTCCGGCACCAAGTCTGTGCTTTCATTCTTTCAGTCACTGTGATTGAACTTGATGAAAACAAGCAACTTCATCCATAGCTTTTTCATAAAAGCAATAGACCACTCTTTCTATGGGTTTACCAGCGCAAGAAACCGCTCAGGATGTTGAGAGAACACTCGAAAAGCTTTTAAATTACTCACCTAACGGCTTGTGATTTACAAGCTTTTCTTGCACCAGTAAACCCATAGAAATAGTGGTCTATTGCTTGATTAAATTTCCTGATTGCCTTTGATAAAAAATGTATAAAAACTGAGTTGATAAACCTTGCTGGACTATTGCACTTTTCAAGTGAACCCAAGTTCCATTCTCACCACCAGCATTCTAGGTGTCAATATTACTAGTCTTGTGCATGCATGCAAGGTGTATGCACGATTTGGGGCATTCCTGTATTTTCATATCCATATTTATTATATGGAGAAGAGTGTTTTACTGGGAACTAAACCACTCGTAGATTCCATACGCCACTTCATCCGGGACCTGAGTGGCGTATTTTCCGTATGTCACCTTTGTGAGTGTCTTATCATTCAGTGACGTCACGATTCCCACCTTTTGCTTTTGTTGAATTGGTTTCTCCATATAGTAAAAGGAACATTACACGTTGGCTCGAAGATATGAATTTTATGTTCGAGTGGCAAAGCTCACTCGTGAGATATTGTTCTTGCCACTCGAACATAAAATTCATATCTTCGAGCCACCGTGTAATATCCTCTATATATCTGTCCTTCAAATAACTCTAACACTGTGAAACATCTAGATTTAAATGTTCAAGCAGAAGTTAATTTATCAATGAAAATAGGATACTGTGCTTGCCTACATGTGGGTATGAAATACATTTATTTGGAAGAGTCTGTAAGATAATTTTCCTAAAAAAAGTATGAATTTCTCATACATAATGTGCCATAATTAGTCAATGGTATTCATGATAAAGGGAAATGTTTCACTTGTTTGTAAACTGCAGTTGTTGGCAGTGGCATTAACTTTTCACTGGATGACATCAAATGCTATCCCATAATACAATTCTCCCTGAGATCAAAGACTGGATATTTGCTCAAGTTCCAAATTACAGTTTAGTTTACTTAATAACAAACATTATTAATGTTGACATTACTTTGAAGACATTTGAACATTCAAACAATATTTTATTTATAATAACTGCAGAAATTCTCACATGCAAATTGGCTAATTTTCATTGTCAATAAGAGGACACCGACAGACATGTTAATTTATAATTTATGCGCTGTTGATGCAGTGAGCAAGAGCAGACAATTTGACAACTTGTATTTTAGAAACCAAATTGATGTCAGTTTTTATGCCTCTGTCCTGCTATTGACAATACATTTCGTCACAACATTGTCAAAGTAGTTCAAAGTAGTCTACGGATTCACTCGCTTATTGCCTCGTGGATCCGCAGTTACAATGATATGACAAAATACAAAATCCCTGATCAATAACAAAACTGACATCAATTTGTTAATGTGATGACATTGTTTATTATGGATTCACTGCACCTTTTTACTCTCGTTAGCTGATGCTCCACCCCATGGACTTGGTCTGGAACACGACGGCTTCCCAGATGGCTGTCCAACTGGAAATGACCCTCTGAAGGCTTGCAGAATGATGGTTGAAAAAGGAATTGTACTGTACTGTGTGGGATGTGAACCCAGTATCCTACGCTACAAAGACTTCTATATGGGCTTGGCATACATAACTGGGGGGCAGTACGTTCCACTTTCCAGAGCACAAGGCCTTTCACAGGTGAAGTATTTTTTAATGTGCATTCTATGTTAAGGTGTCAGCAGCTTTATCATGATTTATGATTTTGTTGTTTTCATCTTGATTAACAGCGTGAAACATAAAAATATGAGTTTTTTGCTCTTTTCTACTGATATAGATTATATTACATTAAAAATGAAGTTTTCAGTATGAAAGGAAAATAGATTACAGAGAGAAAAGCAGATAGTCAAGATTACAATATTTAGAGAGGAAGCTACATCAGCCTTAGCTGGTTATCATGTAGGTCCTCTATTCTGGTCAAATTAGAATTTGTAGATGTTGGTTTTTGGGGAGGGAGGAAAACCGGAGAACCGGGAGAAAAACCCTCGGAGCAAGGCAAGAACCAACAACAAACTCAACCTACTTATGACATCTGGCCAGAATCAAGGCGAGCTCTCTCACCACTGTGCCATCCCTGCTTGTTAGTCAATAGGATTTCAAAGTGCCATACTGATTTCTGTACAGGGTATATCCTGTTTTTTTTTTCATGGAAATAATTCACTGGTTTTAGCAGATCTTGTACTGATGTATGAGTTGAAAGTGAGGAGCAGTAGATACAGGCCATTTTAAAAACATTGTTGATCATTAAGTTACCTTTCGTTTGGGCTTTGCAGGTCATCATAAATGGGACACTTGAAGAAGTGGCTCAAGAAAACCTCATGGGATATGTAGAAGATTACTTGTATATGGAACTGGCTAAGCGTCGTGCAGAGAAAAAGAAGACAACAGTTGACGACTTAGCTGAAGACCTCCAGAAGCATCTGAGCCTCAGGAATGTCAAGTGTCAGCAGCTGCAGTGTAATGCAGAGGCACTTGAGCCTGCCTCACCAACAGCAAAGAAAATTGCTGGCTTAAAAAAATTGTCAGAAGTACGACAATTGTTGAAAGATGAGTCTCCAATGGACTACCGATCCTTCACTAACATGCGTGTCACATTGGAGGTGAGCATAACTGCTCCAGCAGAAGTTACCAAAAACCAGTGTGGAAGGTTAATTATGAAGGAACTTGGTAGGGAAAAACAGCCTGTCACGCATGATGAACTGACTGGAGAACTTATCATTGAAGAATTGTAAGAGGTTGCCATGCCATTTTTATCGTTTCTTGTGAAAACAATTTACAGAAATGTGAATTGACAAGAGAATCTATGGTATTGATCTCTAGAGGGCAACCCTAAGCAAAGAATATGGTAGTTTGCCTGTAGTTTTCGAGTGATTTATACGTGTTCATAACACTCAGTAGTTGCATATTAAGAAACGACTTTTACAATTTTAATTTGACAATTAGAAAACAAAGTCATGTTTGCTTTAGGTGTGTGGTCAATAATGTAAACCTGAGCTAACTATTGCTCATAGACACCAAAGGGTAGTTGTCTTATTGTTTTTGTTGACACCTGAGAGGTTTGCAATTCAAACCATATTGTTTAAATCATTTGTAAGCCCCACAGTCAAGAAGAACTTTCTCTTTAAAGAGAAATGCATCCATTATTGTTTTATATCAGTGACTAGATGGCCATGGGAGAACCAATCAAATTGGAGTTGAACCCAGTCATCTTGAACTTTCAGTGGAAATGAAAAATACTTTGAGATAGAGGGGGTTCAAGAATGCCAATACCAAAAAGTGCTTTCCAAAGGGAAAATGATTTTATTTGAGACTGTGAGGAGTTTGAGATATGTTAGACTGAGATAGCAAAGTTCAATTGTATTGGATTTTGAAAAGAACATGCTGAGCATCTATGTACTAGCCTTGCATATTATGCTTTTAGGAGTCCACTAACTTATGTCAGTTTATCATCATCTGTGGTACTGAATTTTGCAGTAGTACAGTGCTTACAGAATTGCTCCTGAACTATAGAGGTTAATAACATTTTTGAAGTTGTACCCTCAGTGTATTGCTCAAAACAGGTAAATAGCACATAGATTAGATTACAATCAATGCGACACAGTGGGAAGGTTGAGAGTAAAGCCCTGTCCAAACAGGAAATGTTTGATAACGAAACATGATCAAACATTCTTTGGTGACTATAACCATTTTCTGTTTGGACACCTTTTTTTTTATCGTGTTTGATCGTGTTTCATAAAATTTGAACGTCGACAAACATTTGATCAAACACTGTAAAACAGTTTGCTCATTTGGACGGTGATCAAACATGTTTGATACTGTCTAGCCACTCAGTTCAACATCAGCATGTTTTGTAACCAAACAATGTTTGATGATGTTTGGTTGCCAAACATTTGCCGTTTGGACACAGCTTTAATACCATTGAGTATTGTATTGTACATTTTATGTATTTTTTTGGTTCAAAACTTAGCACTGAAAAAGGGCCACGCCCAACATGTCTGCTAAATAGTTAATAAAATTTTCTGGCACTTTTTCAATTACTACTTTTTGCACTTTGCCACACAGCCACAGATCCTTTTGGATTACTGCTATTTGTTGTATCTTTTTATTGCAAGGTATAAATTTGAATAGTCATGCAAGGATTTCATCCACACAGTCATGAACATGTTGGAACCATATTAACTTTGTTAAGACTGTTTGAGTGCCTTCAGTTTGCCTGATGTCAATATCAGTGACTTGATTTTAGTGTCAGATTAAATTATTGTTAAGTTATATTAATATAATATTTCAGTGATTGTAAATTCATTGTTGTGGTGGAAGATGTGTTGGCTGCCTTGAAATAGAATGATTTGAATTCAAGCTGGAATAAATGTTTGTTAGGTAACATTGTCATGTACTTCAATGTATGGTCTTTACTGTAAGTATATGCAGAAGTAAAGGGAGGGTTACATCATTTCCTGGCGTGTACTACCTATAATGTACTATTATGGGAAGCTCTGCCCAAAAGGGTATGGACCTTATTGAGGAGCATCCCCCTTTGAAGCGTTTTTGGTTGCCACTCCCCCCCCCCCTCCCCCTGCATCTCCCAGGTATCGTTGTTTATGGTTTGATCTAGGTTGCCCATTTTCATGTAGAAAACAGCTGTATCTTGAATGTTGTCTGGGATTCCTTTTATGACGTCCAGACGTGCCAGATTCTTCAGTTATTTTGTTTCATGAAGAAGCTGTGATCTGGTCATTGCTTTTGTCTGTCAATTTAATAACTTTAGCAAGTGGCTGCACATTGATACCACCAACATTAATCTATTCAGGTTAGATTGATCACATATTACGTAAGCTGGGGGTAAAAACAGAAAAGTGGCACACAAGGTGATGACAGTGTGTCACTGATGTTCTCACCACATTTTGACATCATCTGCGATATTTTATCACTAGACAGACCCACTGCAACATGGAATCCGCGATCTGCTTTACATAATAAAGAAACAAAAAATGTTAAGGACGTCATCAATATCTCTGTCCATCAATTGATCATAAATAAGAACCAATCAAAATCTCAGAACACAGTCAGACCTCTCTACCACGGCCACCTTGGGGACAGTAGAAAGGTGGCCGTAGAATACCTAACACAATCAAAATATATCAAAAAACCAGAAGCTGAACAGAAACGAAAAAATGTGGCCGTTGTAGAGAGGTGGCCGTTGTAGAGATGTGGCCGTTGTAGGGAGGTGGCCGTTGTAGAGAGGTAGCCGTTGTAGGGAGGTGGCCGTTGTAGAAAGATAGCAGTTGTAGAGAGGTGGCCGTTGTAGAGAGGTGGCAGTTGTAGGGAGGTGGCTGTTTTATAGAGGTTGCCGTTGTAGAGAGGTGGCCGTTGTAGAGAGGTAGCCGTTGTAGGGAGGTGGCCGTTGTAGAGAGGCAGCCGTTGTAGAGAGGTGGCCGTTGTAGA